ATGTACTCACTCATAGGAGGATATTAGATGTGGAACAAGGATGACTGGACTGCTACTCACATCACCAGAGAGGCTACCTGGAAAACAGGACCCCAAGAAAGACACGGGGATCGCCCAATGACAGAGAAATGGAATGAGATCTACATGAACAGCCTGGACATGAGTGGGGGTAGTGAAGGGCGAGGGCCGAGGGAAAGAGACCTTGGGGGAGCGGGAGATCCCAGCTGAATCAACAACAGAGAGGGAGAACAAGGAATAGGAGACCATGGTAAATGAAGACCACATGAGAATAGGAAGAAGCAAAGTACTAGAGAGGCCCACAGAAATCCACAAAGATACCCCCACAACAGACTGCTGGCAATGGTCGAGATACAGCCTGAACTGACCTACTCTGGTGATGGGATGGCCAAACACCCTAATTGTCATGCTAGAAACCTCATCCAATGACTGAGGGATCTGGATGCAGAGATCCATGGCTAGGCCCCGGGTGGAGCTCTGGGAGTCCAATTAGCGAGAATGAGGAGGGTTTATATGAGCGAGAATTGTTGAGACCAAGGTTGGATAAAGCACAGGGACAAATAGCCAAACTAATGGAAACACATGAACTATGAACCAATGGCTGAGGGGTCACCAACTGGATCAGGCCCTCTGAATGAGAGTTGATTGGCTTGATCTGTTTGGGAGGCATCCAGGCAGTGGGACTGGGTTCTGTGCTCATGGCATGAGTTGGCTGTTTGAAACCTGGGGCCTATGCAGGATCGCTTGGCTCGGCCTGGGAGGAGGGGACTGGACCTACCTGAACTGAGTCTACCAGGTTGATCTCAGTCTGCGGGGGAGGCTTTGCCCTGGAGGAGGTGGGAATGGGGGGGTGGGCTGGGGGGAAGGTGAGGGGGGCTGGAGCGGGGAGAACAAGGGAATCCGTGGCTGATATGTAGAACTGAATTGTATTGCAAAATAAAAATAAAAAAATTAAAAAAAATATGGGTTAATTTAAGGTATAAGAACTAGTTAGGAACAAAACCTAAGCTATTGGCCAAGCTTTAATAATTAATAATAAGTCTCTGTGTAGTGATTTGGGAGTTGGCTTGAAGGACAGAAAAAGTCCACCTACAAATGGTTCCCAGCATCCAGCACCTGCATTCACAAAAGGACTGAAAAAAAAGCTTAAAAAAAAAAAACCAACTTAAAACACATAGTCAAATGAGACTTTCAGGTAACTGAGGTCTCTTGGATAGGCTTGGCATACAGAGACTGCTTGTGTAGAGATAAAAAAAATATATAGGGAGTCTGAATGATATTATATTAACTTTTAATTTTTTATTGCTGATAAATGAATAATAGCTGCTGAGAGACATAGGTTATGGATGCTGCTGGATTAAACCAAATTATATAGTTTTTAAAATATCTTAACTTCAAAATGAAAATCAAAAGATATGTTGCTTTGGGGGAAGAGGTTTTGCTTTTGTTCCCACAGAAAATGAAAGGCTATGGATTCATTCAGGGTTGAAGAAGATCAAGTTTGATCCAGGAAGAACCCCTGAAAATCCTGGCTATAGACATAAAGAAATAAGCCTAGAAAAACTACAAGATGCATGATGTATATTTTACATACTCCAACATAAAACAAAAAATTTATCTTTGGCCAGCTTGTGAATAACACATTGTCTATACTTGTGTTTATGTAGATATGTATGTTACCTTTGAAAGCTTATGTATTTTCAGAGCAAGGGGACCAAACACCAATGAAAATGGATGGCCCAGGTGGTCCAACATCTCAGAGAACCTCTGTCACAGTTTTCTCATTTCTGCATCCAGAACAGCTTCAAGGCTGTTAGCTGAGATGGCCCAGCCTCACAGACTACTCCAACCAGGACTTCACTACTATCCTGATTGTCTCAGTGTCCCCTAAAGATGCCAGGGCCCCCAGACAACAGGAAGCAGACTAGGGAAAATAACACTCATATTCCCAAGAGATGGGTTATGGATGTTTGTTATCATTTAGGAGAGGTTGGTTACAAGTTGTTATTAGTCATTGTCAGGAAACGAGCTAACCAAATGGTTACATATGGACCACAGTTTCCTCTCCCTCCTTTCCTCACATTCCCCTCCTCCTTCTCCCATCTACTCCCTTCCCCATCCACTCCTCCTCTATCTCCATTCAGAAAGGAACAGGCCTCCCATGGGTTTGAACACAATGTGGCATATCAAGTTGAGGCACAGCTGAGTTCCTAACTCTGCATCAAGGCTGGGCAAGGTAATCCAGCATGGGGAACAGATTCCCAAAAGCCAGCTAAATGCCAGGGACAGTACCTGATCTCACTACTAGGAGCCTTACAAACAGACCAAGCTACCCAACTGTCATACACATGCAGAAGGCCTAGGATGGTCCCATGCAGGCTCCCTAACTATTGGCCCAGAGTCCATGAGCTCCCACAAGCTCAGGTCAGCTGTCGCTGTGGGTTTCCTCATCATGACCTTGACCCCCTTGGCTCATATAATCACTTTTCCCTTTCTTCATCAGGAGTCCCAGAGCTCAGCCCAGTGGTTGGCTATGGATCTTTGTATCTGCTTCCCTCAGCTCCTGGATAAAGGCTCTCTGATGACAATTAAGGTAGTCACCAATCTTATTACAGTAGATGGTCAGTTCAAGCACCCTCTTCACTATTGCTAGGAGTCTTAGCTAGGGTCATCCTGTGGATTCCTGGGAGTTTCCCTGGCACCAAGTTTCTCCCTAACCCAGAAATGCCCCCCTCCGTTGATATGTCTCTTTTATTACTCTCCCTCTCCATCCCACACCCAACCTGCCTCCCATGCCCAGTCCATCTAACCTGCTCCCTCAAGTTCCCATTCCCCCCCCCCCCATGAAAAGCCTCTTTGAGATGTAAGCTATTGGCCTTTCCCGGGGACCCAGGGTCTGAGTCAGGACTCCCTTGGCAATGCCCTTCCTTTCATGGAGGTAAAGATGAAAGGGCTTGGAGATACCAGGGAGAGTTAATGCAGGAGTCTGCATCAGGGCCTCTTTTAAGCTTTGAAAGACCTGTTCATGTTTCTCAAACCATTCCAAAAGGTTGTTGTCCCAGCTTTAGTGGAATACAGGGTCTGGCAATTTCAGCAAACCCAGGTAGCCAAAGACTACAATATCCAAAAGCTTCCAGAAATTCCCTAACTTGTTTCATGGTGGTTGGAATTGGGATTTCCAGTATGGCCTGGGACAACAGTCTTTTTCCTTCTCTCAGCTCATATCCCAAGTAAGTAACCTGGGGTGAGTAAATTTGAGCTTTCTTTTGAGAAACTCTATAGTCTAACTGGGCTAGAGTTTTCAAAATGCCTCTGATGGCTCTCAGACAGTCCTCCTCATCTTTAGCAGCCAAAATAAATCATCTACATATTGGAGCAAGATTATCTCAGGGTATTTACTACAGACGAGACTTAAATCCTGGTTGAATGCTTCATCAAAGATGGTGGGAGAATTTTTGAATTCTTGAGGCAGTCTGGTCCAGGTTAGTTGTCCTGATATGCCCAGTTCAGGGTCAGCCCATTCAAATGCAAAGAATGAGCTGACTTAGTTTTGACAAAGGTATGGGGAAGAATGCATCTCTTAAGTCCAATACAGTGTAAACCTATGCTCTAGTGGTAATAAATTGAGCAACATATAGGGATTTGGAACAGTTGGGTAAATGGATTCTACCCTCTTGTTCACTTCCCTCAAGTCTTATACTGTTCTAAAGTCTCGAGTTTCAGTCTTTTTGACAGACAACAAGGAGATATTCCAGGGTGATTGGCAAGGAATAAGTATGCCTTAGTATGCCTGCTTCAAGGAGGCACCTGATGTGAATCTTAATCCCTTCCCTGGCTTCTGAACTGATGGGGTGCTGCTTTACTCTAATAGGCATTGCCCCAGATGTTAGTTGCACTGTGATGAGTGGCACATGTTTCGCCAGGCCAGGAGGATTGTCCTCTGTCCAAACTGTAGGAATTTCCTAGATCAGGAACTTTTTACATCCCCTTTCCAGGGAATGGGTTGGATTTTGGAGGAGCAGATGTTCCTCACTTATTGGGCAGGTTATATTTAAAGCCTTAACAGGGCCTCCCAATTGTAACATAGACAAGTCTCCTGAGAATGATATTGTTGCCTGGAGCTTGTTCAAGAGGCTCCACCTCAGTAAAGGGTAGGGGCATTCAGGAATAACAATAAAAGAATGAGTCACAGTTCCTTATCCTAGGTTAACACTCTGGTCAGTGGTTCTTTTGTATTCTTTGACATATCCTGTTGCCTCCTGTACTTCCATTGTGTGGTTGGTAAGGAGTCCCAAGGTCTTCTGTAATACCAAATGAGTAGCCCCTGTGTCTATCTGAAATTTTACTGGTTGGCCCCCCTATGGTGAAGGTTACCATAGGCTACTGGTAGTTCTAAGGAGCCTCAGCCTGGATAATCCTCCATAGCTAGGATTAGTTTGGGTTTGGCAGGGGTGCTGGTGATGGTGGTGGTACCTGTTTCCAGCATGAACATTCATTTTTCCAGTAACCCATTTCTTTGCAGTAGGCACATTGGTTCTTTTGTAAAGGTCTCCTCTTTTTATCATGGTGTGCATGGACAGAGTTGATGTGGCTGGGGCTTGTAGTACAGCCATGGTGGCACGGCCTATTTTCTTTATCAGAAGATCTTCTTTGCCATCTCTGTCATAAACACTTTCTGGGCCATCTCTAATAGTTCTGCCTGGTTCTTTCCTGCAAACTCATCCATCGTTTGCACCTTTCTATGTATGTCAGGGGCCGACTGAGTAACAAAGCCAGGTTAATCACCTTGAGATTTGCCAGATCCTCTGGGTCTATAGGAGTGTATAACTGATAGGTATCCAGGAGGTGTTACAGGAAAGCTGAAGGTAATTTATCTGGGCTCTGTTTCACATCTGTTACCTTAGATAAGTTAGTGGGCTTCTGAGCTGCCTATTTTCTCCCTTCTGGCAGAACTTGGAGGTATTCATCGAGTGACCTCCTACCTCTCTCTGTGTTGCAGTCCTGTTGGGTTCTTCTTCTTGGCAGACCATGGTCAGTTGCCTCTGTCATCTGGTCACCAGCCATTGAAGCTATTCTGGCGAGTGCTTCAGTTGCCTTCGTGAGAATATGTTCCCTTTCTTCAGTAGTGAAGAGGTTATGGAGAATCTGCTGACAGTCATCCCCTGTGGGGAGATGATTGAAAAAGAATCAATTAGAGAAAATTAAGGAATCAGGGCTAGTGCTGAAAGGGGGGCTCTGGTTCTTCCAGCTGTAGAGATCTGTGGTGGAGAAAGGGACATACAAGTATTGACTGTCATAGGGGAGTGAGGACTGAAGGAGGTGATACCTCAGGATCAGAGTCAAAGGAGAAGTCAGGAGGGCCATATGGGACTCCCTGGAGGGTGTGGGGAGGGGAAAAGAGGGGGAGGTAGGGAAGAGCCAGGGATGGAGAAGGTGGGTGGACGTTGGGAAGAACTAGATGGTGGGACAGGAGTAGGTACAGACTGAGGGTCAGAATGCGGCCTTGGTGGTGGGGATTGGGGTGGCAAAGGTGGAGGTGGAGGTGAGGAGGGGAGAAGGTAACAGTGGTTATATGAAGGGAGAAGGGGTTCTTGCTCCTGTGAGTTCTGCAGAATGGTCTTTAGAGGGGGCTCATTAGTCTCTGCCTCAAGCCCTCAAAAGGTCCATCTACCAACAACCAGGGCTTGGCCACCTTGCCTGTTATGGACCATATAGACCTTTCTCCCAGGGGGGAAGTTTGGAAATTGCTTCAGCCCATGACAAGATATATCCAGTTTGATCTGGGTGGCCAGGCTTACTGAGGGTGATATTACCCACTGCCCAGGCTATCTGAGAATCAAAAGTACCCTGGGAGGGCCAGTCAACCCTGAACGTGGTCCGTTCAGTTTCACAGAATATTTGGAAGCTAATCTTGGTGATAGGATAATCATAATACACCTTAACTACGGGGGTGGGGGAGTAAAGTTTATCAAAATTCCTCAGAACACAGGCTAGAGGGCTGTTAGGCTTGCTAGTCTTATTACCCACACTGTCCATTAGTTCAGTCTCCCCAAATCCAAAATAAACCAATTAACACAGAAAGTACAAAATGCAGAAAGAGAACAGTAAAAACGAAGCCAAAGACACGACAAACAGTATGTAAAACCAGACCAAGAACCTCAGGTGGGTGGTGTGATGCCTTGTCTTTTGCCCTGGATGGGAAAAATATTGGGGTCTCATCAAACTCCTCTACATCCCAGAGAGGGATCCCCCAAAACAGAACTAGACTATAACTCATCAGGGGGCCTCTGTAGATGCTTGCTGCTTTTCTCAACACAGAAGTTCACCTCAGTAGTCTGTGAACTCAAGGCAGCCCTGGAGCCTTGGAATGTCTCAAGGCATGTGCCTCCTGATGCAACCCCCAGTCCCTCAGAGTTCTGGAGGGAAGGTCTGGGTTTGGAATTTGGGTGGGTGGTCTGAATCTCACTGGAGCCTCCAGAAAATGTTAATCCCAATGGTGAGACTAAGACCACCGCCACAATTTGACCCAAATTTGAAGCAAGCTTGATTATTATTGGGATACACCCAAGAGCTAGCTAATAACTACTTCCTAAATTAAGTTAAAGAGATTCTATCTCTTGACCTCCTTATAAAGTGTGGTGATACTTTATTTGTGCTGAAATGTGATATTTTATTTGTATGTTAATAAATAAAGTTTGGCTGGAGATCAGAGGTCACATAGTGAGCCATAAACAGAAGCCAGGCGGTGGTAACACATGCTCTTAATCTGATCACATGGCAGGCAGAGTCTCTATGTGATCAAGGACACAGCCAAGTGTGGTGACACACACCTTTTATCCCAGTACCAACCATAGAGACCTGGATGTCTGTATAGACAGGCAGTGACGAGGAAGTCATGTGGCTGGGCTTAGAGCCAATGAGAAGGCAGAACAGGAAGGTAATAAAAGCACAGGTTAGACAGGAAGAAGGTCTCTCTTGGGAAGCTACAGCATGGTGGTAAATTAAGGCTAGTCAGTGGCTCTTTGTTATTTCTCTGATTTTTTTGGTTATTACCCCTGTATTTGGCTCTGTGTTTCTTATTTAATAAGACTGTTTAGAAATTCGTCTACAGTAAAGAGTAAAACCATGAGTAGTTTTACAGAAGGGAGACAATGGGGCAATAAGGAAATACAAAAAAGCCTTAAAAAAAACCATGTGGTCACCTACCATGTGCTTAGGGAGGGTAAGGGTATTCTTAAAAACAATTCAAGGTCATGAGTTGAGAAAGGTCAGGTTTCAGACAGCAACTCAACTCTCATAGTAAATAGAAACTTATTTTTAAAAATACAGCAAAATGGTTCCTGCCTTCAAAATGGAGTCAGGCAGGTTCCTCACTTCAGTGCAGCTCATGTAAACTTCTAAGGAACCTGCCTTAGAAAGATGGGTACCCACTGCAGAAGATTTCTCACATGTGTGAGATTTGTAGGATACAACATCCACAAATACATAGTTAACATCTGATATGTGGCAGTGTTTCTGGTAAGACCATTCTTGGCCAGTAGAAATTTTCCACACAAATGTGTTGATTAGTAGGCACATGGTGGTAGAGAATACTGAGATACTAAGGTATGAAGAGGTTCCCATGTGACCTGGTTTGAGACTTAGAATGCTATGATCCTTATGGAGACAATAAGGATCTGAGATAGTCTTCGAAGTTACTATGGCAAGCAGGCAGGCTGGTACATTGGGACAAATCTCAAATGGGGGGGTCTGAGGTCATAGGCAAGTCATGTCATATGCTTCTCTGACTCCCCTGAGGCATTATCATAAATAACATTTAAGTAAGCAGTTACAGCATTTTATTTTTAATAGTCACTATTAAAATTGTAGAGGTGGTCATGAAGAACACAGCTCAAACCAGGGCAGTAGGGAATAAAGAGACATAACAGTCTTTGTTTTAAGTTCATATAATTACTTATCATAAGACTTTTAGTAAACTAGGAGTGGACGAGAACTACTTTAATTTGTTATCATTCATTAAAACCTAGCTAATATAATATTTAATGGTTAAATTCAAGATTTTCTACTCTTATGCTTTAATTAGGTGTTCTATTGGGAGTTCTAATAATGCAATGGGGTATGAAATTTAAGGAACATGGTTAAGTTTTAGGAAAATTTCAAGTGCTTCTTATTGCAGGATACCTAACTGTATCTCTAGAAATTGCTATGAAGATTATGCAGGAGCAAACACTTATAACAAGTAGATTTATCAAGATGTCAGGAGGCAAGGTCAGTATAGAAAATGACATAGTTTTGCAAATTGGAAGTAAACTTTTGGGAAGTGAAATAAAATCATAGCATAAAAAGAGGAATGCAGAACATTTCAGTAAACATTTAACAAAATGTATGTTGTCACTTTAACCACTAAATATGGGTATAAAAAAGATGTACAAGGTTCTCAGATGGGAAAACTAAAAAAATGAATAGATTTAATTAATATAGTTTTGGAAACCTTCAGAGTACTCTGGAGGGTAAGTAGTGGTGGCTGAGTAGAGTGGACAGTGGGGAAATTTTCTGAGGGTATGTGACTTAGTTAGGGTTCCTATTACTGTGAAGAGACACCATGACTACAGCAACTCTTATAAAGGAAAACATTTAATTAGAGCTGGCTTACAGTTCAGAGATTTAGTCCATTGTCAACATGGTAGCAAGCCTGGCGGCACATATCCACACATGGTGCTAGAGAGGAAACTGGGAGTTCTACATCCAGATCTGAAGGCATCTAGAAGAGACTAAGATATACTAGGCCTGGCTTGAACTTCTGAGACCTCAAAGCCCACCTCCAGTGGCACACTTCTTCCAACAAGTCCATACCTACTGCAGCAAGGCCACACCTCCCAATAGTGTCAGTCCTTGTGAGCCTATGGGACCATTTTCAAACTACCACAGTATGGAAACATTCTATGTATTAATAAGCATAGGAATCATATACACATATGGATTTACCAAAATTATCTCTTGTATCTAAGAGTTCTAAATTTTAATGAAAGTAAACGTACTTAAGTAAAATGTGCAAATCATGCTGAATTCTGACTAGAAGGTTCATGTAGTATAGCATGGTAATTCTGAAACTGGTACGTAATGATTTTGGTCAAGTGACTGTATTTTAAGTAACTCTGTATTCCTTAAATATGATCAGGATATCAGTATCAATGAAAACACTTTGAGTTTAGATCACCATTACTAAATATAATTCTCATGTAAAAGAACAAAAGCTTCTAGGAGAAGTGGAAATGAGACAGAAAAAATTATGAGTTGACATTGGAACATTACTGTGGCAGTGAGAAAGGAATTATTTAAAGAGTTATCAGAACACTATAGAGGTTGAAGCAGTTTTTATCTAGCCGGATCTTGAGTTATTGAAATCTATTTAGTAAAACATTTAAACCAATTAAATGAAATATGATTTCTATTGATATAACACATGAACAAATAAATAAATGTGAGGCAGACTTCCAGCATAATTGCAGCTAATATTTATGGAAGGGAAGATGGAGAGAGAAAAACAGTTGCAGACATTAAAATAGGGCAATTCTTGATGGGCAATAAGATGTTTAGTTACAAAGGCAAAATGACAATCCTGATTCACATTGATTGGTGAGGTTGACATTACCAGTATTAAGACCTGCTGACATTGTTTGTATCCTAACATCACTATTTGGGTATATTTTACAAAAGCATAGCAAATCTAATCATGAGGAAATATTAGAGAAAGTGAAATTGGAAAATATTTTACCAAATTAGTGTTCTCATCTCTTTACAACTCTAAGGACTAAGAAAGATGGAAATGGACTGGCAAATGGTTCAAGGTTAAAGAAGAATAGTAAAGGTATGTGACAGATAAGTAAAATGTGTGACCCTTATTATGTCCTGGAATGGGTAACAAATCTTGTTGAATATTAGTAGGACTCTCTGTCAAAATAGATTACAGATTATAAAACATGTCATGACATTATTATGTTTCACTACAAAAACCTATCTTTATTTATGTAAAAACCTATCTTTACACTTAGGCTATGCAATGTGTTGTTAAATAAGATCAGGCACATTTAGGGTTAAATAAAAGTGTAACTTATTATCAAAGGTTCATAAAAGAAGATCTATGAGGACTAGAAGATGACAGATGACACTTATGCATTAACTGCTCGATGCTCTGGGAATAAAGCTAGGGATAATTAGAAAGCAGCCATCTTATAGGATGTGTGAGGGTGGAAAGGCACCAGAGTTTCTGTAACAAAGAACGTCAAGGAACATTGAAAGTAGAACAGAATGAGCCTGAATCCATTCTGAAGAGCCCAGCCCCAAGTGTGGCCTGCTCAGCTCCAATTGTAAGGTGAAGGCAGCTGTAGAAGGTAAGAACCATGGCTTAAGACAGGGAAAGCACTTCAGAAATTGTGTACTGCACCTTTAGGACCAGATGGAACATGAACGGGGGTGAGGAGGAAGAGGAAGATAAGGGCACAGGGAGAGGAAAAAGCAGAGGGTGGATAAACACAAGAGACAATTGCTACATTATAGAGGGAGGGATGGAGACCAAAGAGGGGAAAATAAAAAAGAAACTAAAAACAGAAGTAGTGTTGAAAAGATCTGCAATCTGGTGGACAGGAATCTAGAAATCCACAAAACATATAAGTTCTGGGAAAACCCTCTCTTCTTGTCTTCCCATGGAAGCAGGGCCAAGAAGCCATTTTACAGAGATGCCTGCTGCTAAGCATCTCTAGAGACAGAAGTCTTTCTGCATGGCCTACTCATGAAACTAGGGCAAGTGTCAGGAGACTGCATTCTGAGAGCTGGCCTGCAGCATCCTTCTTGTGACTAGGGAAATCTTAAGACACAAAGTTCCTTAGACACAGGAAAAGATTGTTCCACATTGCGGAGTTCTTATCTGAGCAATAGACAGGAGTGAGACTCATGAAGTCCCTGGAATACTGGTGCACTGGCAAGTACTGAAAGATGTCAATATCTAAGAAATTTCACATACAGAGTTACTATGGGAGAGGCCATTTTCAAGGTGCTTGAAATTTTCTAATTTTTAATGGAATATTAAGTATATGATTATTTATCACATTACTATTCTTAGTTCTATAGATACAATTCTACAAAGGTGATATTCTAAGAGGATAAATTAGCACCTAAGAAGATGATGCCTCTTCGTGGTAAAGTCAAAGCCAAGGTCTAAATCTATGGGTTCACATGCAGTTGATTTCTTTGACAGCTGTCGATTTTGGAGATGACAACAATGCAGATTCTTTTTTTTTTTTTTTTTTTTTTTTTTGGCAAGTGAACTCCAAAGTCACAACCGTCTATCTCTTTCTACATAGATTCAGGGAGAAATAATTACATAGAAAAAAACCCCTGTTGGTTAGCAACAGAATACTTTAACACTAAAACTTGATCTCTAACCCAGTTCATCTTCTAGCAAGCAAACTGGATCAGACACAGTTTGTCTTTTCTGGGCTGCCAATGGCCACGTTTGAGAGTTCCAGCAAGCTTCATGATCTTTTTCTCCCTTCTTATATTTTTGGTTGTGCGCCTAGCCTTTAACGGCTGAGCCATCTCTCCAGCCCTTTTTCTCCCTTCTTAACCTTACCTTAAGCATAGGATTGCAGGCACACCGAGTGGTGACAGGTTGCCACTTGGGATCCTCAGAAATAAGGAGGAACACAAAAGCTCTCTCTGAATAGGCTCATTCATGCTCTGTTTCCTCCATTACTTGGTTAAATCAGACCCCTTGTGCTCACTCAACTAAAAATGATACACTTGAAAGTGGAGATGAAAGGGAGTTGGGAACTTGTTGAAGGCAAGAAGATACCATTGTCTTAAATAAATGTAAAAGTACATTGGTGGAGTCCCCCAAATCTTATGAATATAAAAAAGAATAATTGAATCAGTGGTATCTTGTAAACAAGTCCAATCATGGCATTTCTTTTCCTGCTTTCTTATTATGTGACTATAAAAAGCTGTCAACAGTGCATTTAAATTTTCCTGCAGAGAGGAAACACACAGATCATAATGAATGTAAGAATATGCTTATAACCATATGTTTGTTCCCATAAAAATGTGCCAATGTAAGAATTGCTCCATTTTGAATATTTTGGCACCATGTAGGGGTAGTGGGTTGAAACATCCATGGTGGGTTCTTTGACTTTTCCCTCTGTGTGTTATAATTGTTACATTTTTCAACATAGAGGTTTCTAGACAACCTCCCCTTCATTCCCCTCCTTCCTGCTCCCCTACTTTGCTTCTTTGTATTAAGGTGAGGTCTGAAAATACATTCCAAACAATGTCATATTACATAAACTTAGAGACAAAGGAAATGGTTACTTAGCAACAAGGGCACGGTAAAAAAAAATATTTATTCCTTATTTTTACTTTCCATTTTGGGACTGTGCTCAGGAAAAGATTTACAAGAAATTCAGGCAAGGAGAAAATGATTTTATAAAATCAGCCTAAAACAGGTAGTAGAGGAGGAAGAAGACCAGATCTTAGCCCTGCACAAAGAACATTCTCAGTAACCTGGCAAATGGAAAGAAAGGAATGGAGAAACTTGGCCTTAGGTGGGACAGAGAGCCTCACTTTACTATTTTTCTTCGGTTTTCCATAACTTCTCCATAATGTAACAAGGGATTCTAAACAACAAGCTGAGAATGAAGACATGTCTGGAAACTGACCCACCATATTATCAGCTCAAATCTGTCTTGTCTTGAGCACTGTAAATTCAGACTAGTGACAGCTCCTTAAAGGATCTATGTGAACTGATATGTCTCAGTTGCTTTCTTGATCAGAAAGATTGTTTCACATTATTAAATATTTGATGAAAATGTGGCTATTAGGAAGTTAATGTTATCAGTATCCACTGTTACATTTGTTCCTTTTCCTTATGGATTTAGTCTATTCTGAGCACTTTGCATCTATTAAGGTGGTCTGTATGAATTTGGAGCTACTTAACTCTTTAATATCAGAAACCATTCAAAGGACAAGTGACTAGTATAATTGATAGATTCTTTACAAATCTTAATATTATTTTTTATTTTTTTCTTTCCTTTTTCAAGACAGAGTTTCTTTGTGTATCCCTGGCTATCCTGGAACTTGCTCTGTAGAACTTGCTCTGTAGAACTTGCTCTGTAGAACTTGCTCTGTAGACTAGGCTGGCTCTGAACTCAGAGATTCACCTCTTTCTTCCTCCTGAGTTCTGGGATTAAAGGCATGTGCCACTACCACCTGGTACTATATTATTTTTAAATTGATTTTTAGTTAGCATACAAACAGATAAGTTTCATTGTGATATCTCTGTATGTGTATACATGCATATATATGAAATAAATGTATATATATCGTGTTTTGTTTTGACTCAATTTCCCTCAACTGTCTCCTGCTGTCTTCCTCTCTGGTTGCTGGTCTCCCTTGTCTAATCAAATAGCCTCTGCTTCTGCTTTCAGTACACACACACACACACACACACACACACACACACACACACACATATATATATATAATGTATGTATAATTTATATTATACACATACATTTTCTCAATAACTTCTCTTATTTCCACTCCCTGTTACTTTTAGACCCTTTCTACCCTTCTTATGTCTGTTTCTGTCTCTGTCTCTGTCTCTGTCTCTGTCTCTGCCTCTCTCTCTCTCTCTCTCTCTCTCTCTCTCTCTCTCTCACACACACACACACACACACACACACACACACACACACACACACTGTGAGATATATACAATTCCCCCAATCCCCAATACTAAAGAATATACATTGATTATCTTAAAAAATGATCACACATTAGGGAACAAAGCAATTTCCAACAAATTTAGGAAAATTTAAGCAACATCCTGCATTTTATCTGACTGTAATGAGACAAAATTAGAAATCAACATCAATAAAATCTACAGAAAATACATGAACCTGTGAAAATAAAAAAAATTAAATGATGAGTGAGTCACTATAGAAATCAAGAAAGAAATTAATAAATACAACTCCTGGATTTAAATGACAATGAAGTACAACACACCAAAATTCATGGGACACCAGTCAGCCCAAAGAGAAACGATTACATTACTAAATGCTTACACTGAAATATAAGACAAAATTCAAATAAGCAACTGAGTTAGATATTATAAGTCCTTGAGTAAACAAGGAAAAAGTACTACAAAAACAGAATCTGGGAAGATGTAAAATCAGGGCAGAAATTAATGAAATAAAAATGAAAAATAAATACTAGGACTCAACAAAATGAAAAATTTATTCTCTGAAAATCAAAACAGGATTAGCAAACCCTTAGTCAAATTAACTGAGACACACACATACACACACACACACACACACACACACACACAGAGAGAGAGAGAGAGAGAGAGAGAGAGAGAGAGAGAGAGAGAGAGAGAGAGAGAACCAAAATAAATAAAATTAGAGATAAAAAGAGGAATATTACAACAGATAGAATGAAATTCAGAAAATGATTAGGATCTATGTTAAAAACCTATACTTCACTACACTGGAAAATCTAAAGTAATTGATGAATTTCTAGGTGCATATGACATCAAAATTAAACCAAGATAGAAGTATCAGTTGTTGGCTTCATGCCTGCATGGCTTACTGAGACCTGTGGTTCTCTGCAGCTCTACAGTATAGTAAATTGCTGTCACAGGCTATAACACTATCTTGGGAAAAGATTAGACTTAAAGTATACCTTCTATTCTATTCATGTTGTTTTTGTGACACTATAAAGTTAAAACTTGTAAGTCTGACCACTGTAAGCTTTTCTAGTGCAGTTCTCTTGCCAACGTGAAGACAGAAAACCACCAGTCCTTTGCAAGAGTAACTGTTGGAGGTAATCACACAGTTTCTTCTGTGAAACTCAAGGTTGACAGCTTTCAGACATCCTTATGAAATGTCAAGTCTTCAGTCGTTTCTGAAGGACAGCAATCCTCTAATTGTGGCAGGAGCAGTAGTTATAGTGAGTTTTTTTTTTGTTTGCTTGTTTTTAATGTTTTTTTTTTCTGTGTATTTTTTATTAAGAAATTTTTTTATTCATTTTACATACCAAAGATCCACCTCTTCCCTCCTCCTGCCTCTCCGGCCTCCCCCTCCCAAACCACCTCCCTTTCCCTCCTACAAGAAGGTAAGGCCTCCCATGGGGAGGAACATTTAGGAGAGGCAGGTCCAAGCCCCTCCCCCTGCCTCAAGGCTGTGCAAAGTGTCCCATCATAGAAGTGGGCTCCAAAAGGCCTGCTCATGCACCAGAGATGGATTCTGATCCTACTGCCAGAGGGCCCCTTAAGCAGATCATGCTACACAAGTGTCTTGCTATGCAGAGGGTCTAGTCCAGTCCCATGCAGGCTCCACAGCCTTTGATCTAAATTTCATGAGTTCCCACTAGTTTGGTTTGGTTGTCTCTGTAGGTTTCCCCATCATGATCCTGATGTCGCTTGCTCATAGAATCTCTCTTCTCTCTCTTTGACTGGACTCCTGTAGCTCGGCCTGGTGTTTGGCTGTGGATCTCTGCATCTGCTTCCATCAGTTACTGGAGAAAGGCTCTGTGAGGACAGTTAGGGTATTCACCAATCTGATTACTGGGGTAAGTCAGTACAGACACCCTGGTACTTGAGGCCAAGTAATTCTTTACTGCAGAGAGAAGTTATCACAAGCATTGTCAGACATTGACAAGCAGTAGACCTGGTCTGTGTCCACTGGGTGCCAGGAATTCCCTAGTGGAATTATGGCAAACAAACATCCTACGGGGAGCAAAGTTTGTCCTGGTTGAGGAACACCATGTCAATGGGCTTGTAAGCATTCTTCTTCCTATTGAACTATTGTACTCAGTTTTACTTTGCTGCAAATTTACTGGTAATAATAATTAGAAAGTGAAATAAAAAATAATTTATAAATTACTTATAACATCTAAAGTGTTATACATATGTATGTGTGTATGAATTTACTCCAGTAAACACTTACATATACCTGACTTATGTAGCTACTATATTTGCTACTAGAGATACAATTGAATGAGGCAATTTTTCAAATGTCCTAGACTACAGGGGAAGTTAAAAAGTCACCTAGAGTATCATAGTAATTTGAGAAAAGTCTTCTGGGAGATATGAAAAAAAAGGATGATTAGAGTTCCAATTGAGAGACGGTGAGGAGACAATGAATCTCTGTGCAGAAATCTGAACTATAGTCAAATATTCTGGAGATAGATTTGCGAAGTAGTTGGGAAGCTTTAGGATTTCCAACAATATTCTGGATCATTATTTATAACTGTCTGTGTTTGAAGCATGATAACATGAAGTTAAACATTGAAGTTGGGTTCACTTAACTAGATGGTAACAAAAGGCAATTATCAACTTATTCCTTGAACTAATGCTTGGCCTTTTGCCAAATTCAGTGAAATTACGGGCACCTTCAACAAGTTATAAAAGATAACTCACTTTTAATGATGAAGACAATGCACTCTTATTTTCTCATGTTTTTTAGGGTACAGTCACAGACATTACTTGCTGTATTCTTCTGTCAACTCTATAAGTTACACAGAATATGCTCTATCATCTCTGTTTCTTTGTGTAGTCATGTAGTTTAACAGAGTGTATCAAAGTACAGTGTTCTCAAAGCATACCTGCCCTTCTCAGCATGGATATACAGCTCCCATAGGGCAATGTAATGGTGCATTGTAGTTTAGCCTGTCATTGTGTTTTAA